TGACTATGGCATGTAAGTGTAGAGTCTTTGGGAGGTGGTTAGGATTAGATCAAGTCATCAGGGTGGAGCCCCAGATTTGAACACTGGTAGCTTTATAAGAAGATGAAGAGACCAGGACACACACACACACACACACACACACACACAACACACTCACAAACTCACCTCCTGTCCCTTGCCTTTTGATACTCTGGTGCACATCACGGTTCTGCAAGCAAGAAGGTCATCATCAGATGTGGCTCTTGGCTCTTGGGCCAGAACTGTGAACCAAAATAAACATGTTTAATAACTTATCCAAATTGTGATACTATGTTATTACATATAGTTGAAGGACTAAAGCATTACTAGCYTTGTGCATATTAAAGGGGGGATTAAAAAGAATCCTTGCCAAGAGGTCCATCTGTAAACCCAGGGACTAGGGAGGCTGAGGGAAGAGAAGTTCAAGTTTGAGACCAGTCTCAGCAATTTAGCAAGGCCTTGTCTCAAAGCATTAAAAGTGCTGGGGATGTAGCTCAGTGTTGAATGCATCTAGATTGAATCCCAGTATAAAAAATCAACAGGAACAACAACAAAAACCTCAWGTGGCATCCTTTCTTTATAAATCACACTACCTGATTTTTTTTTTATATTTTCAGCACATATTCTAATTTTCCTGAGTCAAACAAACAGCAACTTTTCTCCATTCTGTTGAATTCTCAAATGAACTATGATGTGTATCTAATCGCGTGAGCAATTTTAGACACTTAACCTGTTTATTGCCTCGTTGTTAGAAAATGACTGTATTTGTGGTACTAACACTATGCCTGCTTCACCATTTTGCTTTTATATTGTCTTTTCAATGTCATTTTTCTCATTCTGTTACTGGMAATTTAGTTTTAAAGCATCATTGTTTAAAAAACATTTAAAATAAAAATTGAAGTACATCTTCATGCCTGCAACTGGATCAGAGAATGTGTTGGGTATATCAAAGAAACAAAATAGATCTTCTTAGCCTGAGGACCAATACTAAAGTTTAAATTAAAAAAAAAAAAATAGCATAGTGATAAAGAACATGTGAATTTTTTTTCCAATAGTAGTCAAACAGGGAACATGTTCATAGAATTCTCTGATGTTTATGCCAAATGAACCATGAGTGTTCAAAAAAAACCCCATTATATTTTAGATTTTATTTTTTTTTTAAATAAGGCAAAATAAAGTATGATTCTGCATGAGCTACTTGCTCAGATTTCAAATTACTCTCCTTCTCKTGTACTATCTATTTTCTACAGTTGAAATTAGAATGCTTCTTTTCCCTGTCTGGATCATTCACTTATGTGGAGGTTTGGAAGGAACTGTTATTGTTTTTCAGCTCACAGTTTTGTGTCTAAAAAGAAATGCCAATGGCTTTTTAGAGAATGAAAAAAAATTAGGTAACAAATATTTTTTGCTAAGAAACAAATTATTCTAGACCAATTAAAGTTTTAACTTGTTAATAATCTAACATCTTAATATTTCAATATAAAACTTGACAAAAAGGACTTTTATTCTTATTTCAGAGTACAAAATTAGTTGTAGGTTATGTGATTTTTTTAAATTTTATGTTAACTTCAACTTCTAAATATATTTTTGTTTGTTTGCTATCAATTGTTTATGCTTAAAAATACAAACTGTTCTAATGTAAATTAATTAAAATACATTTCAAGAGATAATTTTAAATTCAACTCTCTYCCAATGAGGAATTTTAGTTGTAATAAAGTGAATTTTTGCATAGCTAATCTATACTTTGTGCTTTTAGTGTGGATAAGTAAGGTTGGATTTTATAGTTTTGATTATTCATTGAAAATCCTTATTTACTCCAGTGATTTACCTAATTTGTTTTTAGAAAACAAAAMTTTTTCTTAGTTGTAGATGGACAGCATGCCTTTATTTTATTTGTTTATTTTTATGTGGTACTAAGGATTGAACCCATAGGTTGCTAGGCAAGTGCTCTGCCCCAGCTATTTCCCCAACACCCGCTCCAATTTGCTTTTGTTTTGTTGTTATTTTTAAAGGTTACAATGCCTTTTGTGTGTTTTTTTTTCTCTAAAATTAGTCTTTAGAAATAGAGGTTAGAGGTTACCTTTTATTAATTTTTAATCAACKTATTTTTTCTTACTGTATTGTTGAATGAATGGAAATGAAATATAGCAGTTCTGCTGATGTGCTTGCTTATAGGAACTCAAAGATAAAGGAGACAACCTCCTTGACTTTAGTGAGTCTTTTTTTCCTAGTCTGCCAGAAGTTCTTATGTTGGGGCTTGAGGATTGAAGGACTTCAGGCAAACCCATGAATGCCCTCAAATTACATATCAAAAGACTTTTGGTGTGTGTATGTTCCTGGGAAAATGGTCCATATATTTCACTGGATTTTTAAGACTTAATACCTAGAAATGCTAAAGGAGACAGAACACATCTAACTATAATTTAGTATAATAAATACAAAATTACATTTTATTCTAAGAAGATAAAATATTATAAGTATTRTAGTAAGGATAAGAATAAAGATCTGTGAGAGATAATAGCATAAACATTGGATGTTTAAGGACCCTCATAGGACTCATTTGATGCAGGCCCTAGGGCCAAGTTTGCCTTTTTCCATGCAACATCTTTGATATATAATATAGTAACTGGCAGGTAATAACATTTATATGTGAAGGTCCTTGCAATAATGGATGGATGGCTCTTTGAAGATAGTTTAATGGAGGAACTATTTGCAGCCGTGTGGGCATGGTTGAAGGTACCCAATAAAGAATAATGTATCACCTAAGGAGAAGCAAGGGTTTGGAACAGTTATCCATCAGTTGAAGGGATAAGGATAGGACTTGTGTCCTAGAACTCATTAAGAATTGTAGGTGTGGAGGGGTTACTCAATGGGAACTATGGCCAAAGAGGAAACAAAAGCAGGGGAAAAAACACTTTGACTACCTTGTGTGGTTATTTCTCTCTCCTTTGTTTCTCCTGCTGGTGAAACAGTTAGAAGCTAGAGGGCAAGTAAGTACTAGATAATAGTCTTTAGAGATAAGAGCAAAGAGAAGTACAAAGCTAAGCAGAGGATGGTGAGTGGACCTGGGGGGATTAAATAGGAGTTTATCAACAGAGTGCTCAAAACTTACTTGAATTAAGTTGAATTTTTATTGTTAAATATAACTTAGCTTTACATATTGTTAGAATAAAATGAAAATGAGCAAATGCATAATGGTTTAATTTTTTAAAATACAAATACCTCTAATCCTTCAAATCAAAATCTCTGAAATTGTACAGACAATTATTTGTCTCACATATTTTGAATATTTGAATAGTTGAATTAATAAAATGGTACAATATTAATTATTCTATAAAATTTGAAGTAAGAATAACTCAACTTTTTCAAGATTTTACATTTTAATAATATGCATTTTTCAGAATGTGAGAAGTTGGGGTATTTAGCTTAGGAAAATTCATTTTCTAGAGCCTGCCTCAAACAACCTGCCTCTGAGAACCTATAGACAATCTATATAGAAAACCTTGGCTAGTTACTCTTTTGATACAATAGTAATATCCAGAATAAATATATAAAGATCTAAAAAAAACTTACTACCAAACAAATATCCCAATGAATAAATGGGCAAATTAACTCAACAGGCACTTCTCAAAGGAAGAAATGTGAAAGGCAAAAATAAAAGAAAAAGTGTTTAACATCTTTAGCATTTAGGGAAATGCAAATCAATCTATGCTGAGATTTTATTTCATTCCAGTTAGAATGGCAGCCATCAAGAATACAAACAACAATAATAAATGTTGTAGAGTATATGGGGAAAAGGAAGGAACAGTTGTACACTGTTGGCAGAAGTCAGTGGTGTACTTTATGCTTTGAATTTAGCCCTGGATCCTCTGCCACTACARCTTATTTTTTAAAAGGACATGTTTGTTTTCTATTTTTCTCTCCCTTCTCCCTGATCTCTCCCCCTCCTTAATCTCAGGGGAAATAGGATTGATTACCTTTCTTCCTCATCCTAGGACAAGTTATCTGTCCTTGAGAACGTAGCTACCACAGGAATGAAGTAATTAGACTTCAGAGATGTTAACAAGAGTATCAGAAATCTCCCAAATTGTCACTTGAATTGAATTACCTCTTTAAAAAACCMAAAACCCACCCTGTGTCATGCTCTCCTGTAATCCCAGTGGCTCTGGAGGCTGAAGCAGGAGGATCATGAGTTCAAAACCAGCCTCAGCAATGGCAAGGTGCTAATAAGCAAGTCAGTGCGACCCTATCTCTAAATAAAAAGTACACCCTGAGTTCAATCCCTGGTACCAAAACAAACAAACAAAAAAAMCCCTAAAAACCCTCTGTTCTACCCGTGGGCAGAATCACGGCTTCTAGGACTGGAGTCTCTTGTTTCTCCTTTGCTAGCAAAGCAATAAAACTTATTTTTCCTTTTTCTTAAAACTGTTTCCTCATTATTAGATTGGCATCAGGGACCAAGGACTAAGCTTTTGATTATAAGGAGAGGAAAGAGGAAATATTGGGAAATGACATTGACCAAATGATGTTGTTACATCATGTGCATGCATGCATATGTAACAATGAATCCCATTATTATGTGTAATTATGTTGCATTAATAAAAAATTGGGATAAAAAGAAAAAAACATTTACACTTAAGTCATGAAAATAGTCTTCTTTGGTATCTTCTAGAAGTTTTGTTATTTTATCATCTACATTTTGAGGTACAGTTACCTGAGATTGACTTTTGTATATTGTGAGAAAGGTTAATATTAATATTTTCCATTTTGATAGTCAACTGACCAAATATTATTTATTAAGGGAAAAAAAAGATACTTTGTTTCTGGCTTGCAATGCTACTTTTGTCACAAATCAAGTCAGTTAATTAAAAAAAATCTCTGAATCTTCTTGTACTCAAATTTAAGTATTATAGAACATTGTTGTACTTGTTATACCCCTTATGTTCAAAAGTACTGTAGTGGCACCCCCTTTCTCCACAGAAAATCTTAATTGGACTTCTCCAAACATCTTCACCGTGGCTGATTTTAGAACTGTCAGCAAAAGAGTCTCTACAGAAGAGTTCAGTGTAGATAAACTTCCAATTTTCGTGTTGCCCTATCTTACTTGGCCACTGGCCAGGAAGAAATCAGCACTCCAGGTGCTGGACACCCCCTTACTAGTTTTTCACAAATATTTATCCAGTATAGTAGTTTGTAAAAATGTGTAAACAAGGCCTCTGGTCTTGAGCTGGAACTTCATGGAGATGTCTACATTTCTAAGATAAGAGAAGTTACCAATTGGGCTCCATGGTCACACCTGGCAGGGGGAGGGAAGAAAGGGGAGAAGAAGCTCTTCCCTTCTCAGGTGTTGACCTTGAAGGGTTAACTTGCCCAGAATAGTGAAAGAAAAAGCTGTTTTTATGTGAACTTCTGCGCCCTTCCCCTTACATGTTGGGTGTAAAATTCTGAAATTACCTGAACTTGAGGTTCAGGGGATTGATTGATTATAGCAAAAGCTGTGCCCTCTGAACCTGGCTGTATCTAAATAAAACTGTTTCCTGCTATCTTCGGTGCCTTACTTCATGTGTCCCTTAGTTCATTTTTACTGATAATGTTAAAAACAGCTGACATCTGCTAACATGTGCAGGCTACATGTGTTAAGCCCATTGTGTGTATTCTTACATTTTATCTTTACAATAGCCTTAGGTGGTATAATTACCATTGCTAGGTGCTTGGTATGAATCAATGGACAAAAATAAGTTCTACATAGAGCACAGATGTTTACATCCTAATATTTATATTTTTATATCATTTTTATTGTTGTTGCTAGTATTCTCTAGTTGCTTTTGAAGCTGAACACCTTTTCTTATGAGCCTCAGGTGTGCTAGGCAAGCTCCAACACTGAGCTAGATGTCTAGCCCCTAGACATTTTTTTAAAAAATGAAATCCTTGGCTTAGTCTTTTGTCCACATTTCTTGTGTGTTGTCTGTCTTTTTAATTTGGAGGAATTCTGTATGTATATTTGGATATGTGCCCATTGTTCTGAGTTGTAAATGACCTCTGTCATTCTGTGAGATCAGTTGATCTGGGGCTAGTTTGTTTTGTTTTGGTTTTTGGTGGCACTGGTAACTGAACCCAGTGCCTCTAGCATGCTAAGTGAATGCTCTAGTTCTTTAGACAGACATTCTTTTTCTGTAAGGTAAACCACACAGCAGTTTATATGCTTTGTGTTAATTGGTGCACAGGACCTAAGTATAAGGAGGGGCCTTACACCATCTAATATTATCTCAAGGTCACCAAATGTTCTAGGTTTTATTGTCACAGGAAAGCTGGGACCTGAAATTCTAAACCTTGGTTCTTGTGTTCTGATGAAAGAAATTTTAAAGTCAGACACCAAAAGCTATGCAAGAGATCTTAAGTGAAAGTAAAGTAAAAACAAAGTGAGGCTTAAGCAGAGAGCATTCTCAAGAGAGAGAGTAGGCAGTTTCCAAGCAGAGAATGACAAAGGAGACAAAGATGTCTTCAAATTCATGACTGATTGATGTTTACCAAGAGAACTGGGACCACCTTCTGTACTCTTTGCCAGTCAGTTGTTAACTCCTCCTTCATGTGGGCAGTGGAGTTTTTGACCTTCCTCTCAGGAATTGTCATGGTAGCCATTCTATTTAGGGGTGGCTTCGTCTATAAGACAATCCTGTGTTAATGTGGGCATTGGGGTCAATAGCCAGTCAGAAGTTATCTTGTGTCCCTGTGCTACTAAAAGAATCTTCCTTCCCAGACAAATGGAGACACACACAGCCATAATTCGTAACTTCACACTAACCTCAATGGACTCTGTTAAGAGTTAGTCTCATTAATTCTTTCCTTTTGACATATTTTCCATTAGCTCCTTTGCTTCTGTTTGTTTTCTACAAATTAACTACTACCCTTTGCTTTTTCATCCACATTGAGTTTAAAGAAGACCCTACAGTAAGTGGCTTTGCCATACATTTCACTGCTCATTGCTAGTTACTACATAACACTATGAATCTGGAGAGAGATTATTTACTAGTTAATATCCTAATCATTTAAGTATGGCTTCACCTTAGAATTTAGATTGCCTAGTTAAAGGCAGGGGATGGGATGGATGTAACCTTACAAAAGGCAACTGCCAAAGGACCAGGCACTTTTAGAGCCTTCATCTGCCTACCAAGAGCTCTAGATTTCTCAGAGACAATTATTGGATATTAAAGTTAGAGCACATTTATGCAGCTGCCCTCTCTGACCTGATGTTTCTCATTATAGAGTCATCCCTGGAACGTCTGGGCTTTGATTTCCTAAAACTGATGTGTATTTCATTACAGAACTCGAAGACTGAGGGCTGGAGGGCTTTTAGGTTTTGACATCTAGAGTCTCAGCCTCCTTCTTAACAATGTCTGCACCAGTGTGAAGTATATCCATTCTGTTCTCTAGTGAGATTATTCAAGTTTTTAAAAGAATCTTTGTTGAAGCTTATGAAATTTGTCTCACCACAAATTAGAAAAAAAACGTTGCTGTGATTTCACTTTCTTAATTCTGTATCAGTCAGAATTTGCTTTGGCTCCAAGTACCTAAGTACTGAAAATATGGTAGTTCAGGAAGATAAAGCTTTTATTTTATCTCATGTAAATAGAGGCAGTCCAGGGGTGCTAAGACAACTCTGTGATGGGGTAGGAAATAGTCTCTTTTCCTCTCATTGTTTTTCCTTCTCTGTCCAGAAGGCTGCTCCAGGTAAAATGTGTGTGTTCCATTCAGCAAAGACATTTTCTCCCTCCCTCTCCTAGGACTTCCTAACAGTTGTACACATAGCTTTGCTTAGGTACTACAGACCAACACTTAGTTACCATAGGCATCAGACTGCCAAGGGAGGCTTGAAATACATGTCCAACTAAAAATAGAAATTCTTGGTTTTATGAATGGATATTGAGGTCAACAATTTATTTCTGCCACATGTTGTGACTGAAGGTTTTTAAATCAGAATTAGCTTATGATATTTTAGATTGTAACATTCTGAACCTGGTTCTTATTGTTTAAAAATTTTACCGGTCCAGAAAAGTAGAAAACTATTTTTTAAAATTATTAATGTATTTTTACATGGTGCTGAGGATTGAACACAGGGCCTCACATGTGCTAGGCGAGCACTCTACCGCTGAGCCACAACCCCAACCCCCCTAACTAATTTTTAAATTAAATTAAGATTTTTACTAATTTTTGAAGTTCAACTTCTTTCCCAAAGATGCACTAAAGGTTTTATTAAAACTCTAAAAACAGCAAATGCATTTGAGCATTGCAAATATAAAATATTGAGTAGGAAATATGCACTTTTTGTCCTTACAGAAGGTATATATATATATATATATATATATATGTATATGTATATATGTATATATGTATTAAACCCACTATTACGAATAGTCTGTTGGTAATGTAAAAGCTCTTGGTTAGAATGAATTCAAATATATGAAAATTAAAGTATAGAATTATTTTAGTTCACCAAAATTTAGATGATAAAGCAAGCAGCAGATATAATTCCTTAGACACTGTAGATTTTAAGTTCTGTTCTTCACAGTAGAGTGTGAAGAAAATCTAGTATTTAATGTAATTATCCTCATTATTTAAGATGATTGATTTTCTTTTAAAACTTAGTATGGTGACAGAAAGTCTAATTGACCATTTTCAGAATTCATTATTTAGCCTTAAATGTGAAATTGGAATGTAAAAAAAAGAAGAAAAAGAAGAAGCAGGAAGGGAGAGCAGAGTGGAAAATTAAAGTAGGTAACACTGGAGTGTGAAAAATTCACAGCTCCTTAACAAACTGGAGGCGAGAGGGAAGGGACAACCTGATCAACTGCCTATCTGCCAGAAGGCACTCAATCCCAGAAGACTTTTGTGCCACAAGAATATAAAAGGAGAGGGAAACAACTAAAGGCATATTTCTTTAAACAACAGTAAAACCTAAGTGACTTTTGGGAAGATTGTGTACCCCCTAGTACTCAACCAATGAGGAACCAGAGGAGGGATCTTGCCCTGGAGGGAATAGTGCTAATTATAACTGCTCTGGGTGTGCTTGAGCACCAGACACCTGATCTTGCAAGACTGTCACGAAAGCCTCACTTTCTCTGTACCTTCTCAGTTCATTCCTTGGCAATAGACAGGTGAGTGTGTTTCTCACAGTATGTAATTCTACAAGTTATCATATTTCTTCCTCCACAGKCAAGAAGTTTGATAGCTGTAGGACTGGGTGTTGCAGCTCTTGCATTTGCAGGTAAGATAAATGAAGAATATATGTCAATATTTGTTGTAGGAATAGGATTTTCAATTAGCTGCTACTTTGATTGATGAGTAGGACCTTTGTATTCTGACATTTTTGGTCTTCAAACATTATACATTCTCATTCTTTTCACCATCTATAGTTGCTAAACATTAGTCAGTAAAACAAAATCTAGGTAAACTGTAGTGAAGAAAATTGATGATGTATGTGCTACGAATGCTAGTCCTAGTAATAGCTGGTGTTCTTGGCTTTTTTTTTCTTTAAATTGAGCTATAGTGTATAATAACAAGAAATCTTTGATATGATGCTATCACTGTATGGAGTCCGAGATTTCTCCAGATGCAGAGGAGACCTCAAACCTTCCACATTTTTKACTCCATTGCAGAAAAGAATTTAAGGAAGAGTCAGCTTGTAGAACAAGAAGGGAGAGCTTTATTGGAAAGCAAAAACAAAGAGGGAGTGTAGTCAAATTTTAGAGTGAGATAGTGAGTCAAATCTTGCTCTAGGGTTCTAATATTTATAGAGTAGCTAGGGGGCTAGACTAAGGTAGAGTCAGGACAGAATTACATTTTTGTGCTCTAAAGTGCCCTTGCATGTTTTAAGCCTGCTTCTTGGTTCTTTCCAGTGCCCTTTTTAGGTATCTTGCAGTTTTGTTGCTTTTTCATCAGCCAAGCTTCCAAGCTGCAGGCAAGGWTGCACATTCCCTTACTTGCTAGTTGTTTGTTTTATATTCCAGTGGCTCATAGGCATTTCCTTTATGCCTCAGTGTTCTTGTTCTCTGTGCCCTGAATTCCTGTCTCAGTGCAATCTAAGGATCTCAGTGATAGGGAATTCCTTTATATTCCCATGCTCACTTTTTCTTGCAGATGGGTCTATACTCTTAAGCTGTCAGTTACTTCTGATGAACACAGTTATTCACTGATTTATTACTTCATCTTTTAGCATATTGGTATAATTTCTTTAATAAAACCCAGGAGAATTTCTTTCACTGTCAAAATTATCTTTTTAGAAAAAAGTTATGAATATTAAAAGTAAAATTGCTAATTTAATCACTAACTTAGAGTTTTAAATTGCATAGCTATTCCCTAATTAAATGTTAATCTAAGAGTATTTCCATGTTGATATTTACTGTTTTGTTTCTAATTGTATGGATTTGATCTTGTTAATTGGATGTTTTTAGGTAAAACTATTCCACTATGTTTAAATGGAGTTAAATTCCAATAGAAAAATGACAAATAAGATTCATACAATTCTCAGCTAACAAATAGAACTTTAAAAACTAGACATTCATTGGGGCYAGGGATGTAATTCAGTGGTAGAGCTCTTGCCCAAGAAGTGTGACGACACTATGAGTTCAATTCCCACTACTACAGTGGAGGAAAAAAAAAGTTCAGTAGTTCAGATCCTCTTGATCTTTTTTGGCAGCACAGCCTTGATCAATTGTATACTAAAATGAACYAATAACTAAAGTGAACTAATTCTGGGGTTTTTCTAGAGGAGAATCATATCTTAAAAGGAATTCTGACAAACTTGTCCATAAGCATAAAACTATTTTAGAAGTATTTTAGTAGAATAGGCATAGTCATTATGAATTAAAATGTAAGATTTTCATTTTAAATTAGAAAAAGATGCACTTTGGGGCTGGGGATACAGCTCACTCGGTAGAATGCTTGCCTCACATGCACAAGGCCCTGGGTTCAATTAAAAAAAAAAAAAAAGATGCACTTTTTCCAAGTCTTCTTTAAAAATATTGACGAGGATTGATGTGCAGATTGTACTATTGCCAAATTCATGTTACTAATTAGAACAACAGATCTCTTCCAGAGCCAAATAAACTAAACAGTACAATTTAGGAGAATATACACTTCAATTTGATGGGGGGATAGCTCATCTAGTTTATGGTTAAAGGAAAACTTCAGATTCCACTTCTTAAAGCTTTTATCTGCTTTTTCACTGAGAAAGGAATTCAGTCACTGTGCCTGATTGTGGTTTTGAAGAATTTTGGGGTAATTTAAAAACTACAGTTTATACTATTGTGTAATCAAATGATAAGTTCTTCTGAAAGATCTAGGTAGTTGAGGTTTTCCAGTGGAACTCTTGATTTGCAAATAAGCTTATAGTTAGAATTAGAATTTAACTTCACAGTGTCATATACTGTTTTCTGGCAAGACTTTTAAAGAAAGACACCCTAGTAGAAGCCACATGTTCTCAATAGGACACAAAAGGTAAATTAGTTAGATGATATTTTATACTTGTTTGATATCCTCAGAACAGTTTAGGACCTGTTTTATTATAGATTCTTGGTTTTCAAAACTGGGGAAGTTTGAATATTTGTATGTTGACAAAAGGCAAACCTGAAATAAGTTTTTAGAGAGAGTAGCCATCTTCAGTAATAAACCAATAATTGACATCCTTGTTAAATGTTTCATGAATAATTGCTTTTTTTAGTTTAGAGATAACTTCATTAAAAAATCACTATGTCATGTATATCATAAGTTGTATTGGTTTTCTATATATTTCAAAGTGATTATCATTGTAAAAAGCAATACTGTTAATCGTTTTAGTATCATAAGTATGTTTTATACATAAAGAGACTTCTGTAGAAAGAGTACGAGGATGTTATTTTTCCAGTTTTATAATATGATATTATGTAAACATTGAAAACTTCTATAGTCATAAATTACAACTTGATAAATTTATTGGCTGTGATAATGATATCAAAATGAAATTCTGTCCTCRGTAAATTAGAAATTTGAGAAAACATGGGTTTGGTTTTTTTGTTTGTTGTTTTTATAAATTTTGAAATATTTATTGAAAATAGTAAACTATCAATAAACAACATGCTAGTTACCTTGAAGGTATTGATTGACACTGATTATAGAAAATTATATTTGCGTTTCTTCCTTTTACCATTTAGGTCGCTATGCATTTCAGATATGGAAACCTCTAGAACAAGCAATCACAGACACTGCAAGGAAGGTTTCATCTTCTGTAAGTTAAATGTGACTTCACAACTAATTTTTATTCTCCAGCCAGTAGTATTACATTAATTTTTGGGTAACTTATTTTCCCTTTCTAACTACTGTTCATTTATTCAATAAACATTTAGTGAGTGTCCACTGTACACCAGTCCCTGTAACAGGAGCAAGGGAGAGGGATGAAACAAAACACAGTCCTGCCTCGGTGTAGCTTACTCAGGAGTTTATTTCATCTTGAAATTTGGAACTCCTCTCCTTATACCACTGTACCTGACCCATCTCAAATACAAAATTACAAGATTCTAGCCTGAAGTCCTGTAGGGCTTATCCATTCATCTACCAGCATCAGAGACTCTGATGAGCTGAATATAGGAGGAATGGATGATAATAGTTATCTAAAAAGCCACACTATGAACTGAGGTTTGTGACCAATGAAGACAATTCAAATAAGACTCATTGAAGCCCTGAAAAATAAACATTGAGTTCTGAGAAATTTATGCAGAACTAGAATAGATCAGTTTGGCTTGCAGCAATTTGAGAATGAATGACTTGTTTTAGCAAAGACATCACAGGCTTTGGGGACTTAGTTAGCCAAGAACAATGAGCCTTTCCAAAGGATGACATACTGACAAATAATTAAACCCAGGTTCAACTTTTAAGAGATTTTGGAATCCTATAAATGTATGTCTGTGATTAAAGTGAGTGTATGTCTATTTTTTGTTCCTATTTATATTTTGTTTGGTAGCATACTTAATAAATGCTAGGGTATTCAGCATTTATTAAGTAAATATTCATTGAGCACCTACCACATGCCAGACATTGTAGGCCATGGGATACAATCATGGACCAGACAAAGACATTTTCCTCTAAGCACTTATGTTTTATATTTTATTAGAGATAAATCATAAACAAATGAAGTAGAATACATAATATCTAGAAGTGTTAAGTGTTTATAATTAGTTAAAAAATTTCCCCAGAGTACTGGGGATTGAATCCAAGAGCATTCTACCACGGAACTACATTCCCAGCATCTTTAAATTTTTTATTTTGAATTGTGGTCTCACTAAGTTATCAAGCTGGCCTTCAACTTGTAATCCTTCTGCCTCAGTTTCCAGAGTAGCTGGGATTATAGGTGTGTGCCACTGTACCCAGCTGTTAAGTGCATTTTTCCCCCTCCTATACTAGGAATTGAACCTTGGGCCTCATACAAGATAGGCAAGCAGTCTACCGCTGAGCTACATCCCCAGCCCTGTTAAGTGTTTTTAAGGAAAACTAAATTAGGGTAAGAAGATAAAGAATAACAACAGAAGAATCTTTCATTAGATGGGCCAGGCAAGCCTGAGAAGACATGGAAGCAGGCTATGCAAGCATCTGAAGAAAGAGCTTTCTGGTTAGTGGGAACATTACAGAAGTCCTGAGATGGAAATGAGCTTAGCAACAAGGCTTTTTGGTTAGTTTTTCATCACTGTAACAAATACCTGAGAAAACAACTTAGAGAAGGGAAGATTTATTTTGGCTCATGGTTTCAGAGGTTTCAGTCCCTGATTGGCTGGCTCCATGGCAGAATCATCATGGTGAATAGTTTGGCAGGGGAATCTGCTCAGTTCATGGCAGCCAGAAAGCACACAAAGAAAGGAAGGTGGCTCGGGATAAGATATGGTCTCAATGGCATGTACCCAGTGAACTGTGTCATGTATGTCATAGGTTGTATTGGTTTTCTATATATTTCAAAGTGATTATCATTGTAAAAAGCAATACTGTTAATCGTTTTAATATCATAAGTATGTTTTATACATAAAGGGACTTCTGTAGAAAGAGTATTAGGATGTTATTTTTCCAATTTTATAATATTATGTAAACATTGAAAACTTCTATAGTTTGGAGGCAAACATGCCATATCTGCCTGTAGTTTCCACTACCTCCCTATAGTCATTCAGCTATCAATGGATTAATCCACTGATGACATCAGAGACCTCATGATCCAATCACTTCCCAAAAGTCCCTCCATTGAAATTACTGCATCAGGAACCAAGCCTTCAATTAATATCCAAATCATAATAATGGGTAACTTCATGGAATCTATGAAAGGAAGAATAGTAGATTGGGCCCAAATCCTTATGGCCTAATGGACTATGAAACCCTCAAATTTTACTCTTATGAACAGAAAGTCTGTGAGATTTTGAGCACAGCGTGATTTGCATTTTGATTATCACTATGCCTGTGACATAGAGTTTAGTCTATAGTGACCCAGAGTTAGAAGTCATGAAACGTGTTAGATGTTGATGATTCAAGAGAGAGTAATGGTAATAGAAATAGTGACATAGTTCTCTAAATGGACTTTAGTTATATCTTCCCATGTTTACCAATAATAAATGGAGAGAATTTCAGGAATTATTTAATTGTAAAGGAAGAGAGAACAAGAAAATGAAAAAAATTCTTACTGCTCAATAGAAAGCTCATAGGTAAGATAGGGGAGATTGAAGTGTATACCTGCCCTGCAACTTGCATTTTTTTAAGGAGAAAAAAAATGGTGTGCAAGTCCCTTTCCTTCTGTTATTAGGGATTCTAGGTAAGAAATGTAGCTTTTAACAAATCTGGCTTCTCCTCCTTTTTCACAAAGTTCCACTCTTACAGTTTATAGTAAAACATCATAGAATATCTTAATCATCATCATCATAATAATTATACCTCAGTGAAGATACAAGTTTCTTAAAAGCAATTATTTAAAAATTAATCACTCCAGGGAAACTGAAAAAATGAGATGCTTTCTCTTCACACTAATGAATCCCAAATGTCAAAATTCCTAAATACAGCATTTACAGTATTTTGATTTTGTAAATATTAATTATTTTTATCCAAATGAGGTTACTTAAAAAAAAATAACTATAATTGTATGTCAGTCTGTCATTCAAGGGGGAATGTCCCAAAACTCAAGTTCCAGTGGATTCTCTTTTCATTATTGTTGTAACACTTTGTTTATTTCCTCTAAGCTTTAACATCTTGTTTTTAAATCTCATCTTCCTCTTTTTTTTTTTTTCCATTTTGCTGGAATATTGCCTGGAGTAATTTGTGTATATGGTATGCATGGATGGTAAATGTTGTAAGTTCTTCTCTGTTAAACAGTTGCTTTTATTCTCATTGTTAGTTATCACTACTAGTTCCTTGAAATTTAGTGGAGCCAACATGAGAGAACTACAGAACTCTCTGCTGAGACTTAACCTCAGTGCCTACACTTCTACATTCCTGCATACTCACAGTCAGATTTTCTGCTCTTCTTCTTTTTCTTCTTCTTTTATTTATTGTAGATAGCCTGTTGTTTTGGTTTTCTTTTGTTGTTTGTTTTGGGATTTTAGGTTTTTTTTAGTGTTCATTTTTTGGCTCTCAAAGTTTTTAGGATTTTCTCTATATTATTGGTGTTCTGAAAATTCTTAGGAACTCAGTGAACTTATTTGAAAATTGCCTTTTGTTGTAATGTTTTCTTATATTCAAAAAATTATTTTCTTCCTATGAGGTCCTTGCTTAGCATCTGATGGCCATCTTAAGTGACAGCTGCCATTTTAAGGAAAAAGTTTCACTTTCCCACCCAAGGGCAGTTCATAGAAAGGCTCACCACTCCCTCATACCAACCCAACCCTTAACCATGCATTAGGACCTGCCCAGTTCGGATTCCTAAGCCTGCCTTATAAAAATCCGAGTACCCAAACCTGTTTTGCCTCTCTCCTATAGATAGATGGCCTTTATTTGTCATCTCTGACAAATAAACTCTGTGTGTCTATCTGCTTGGTGTCTCACTTCTTGGACCGACTCTTCTTCCTCACTTTCCCTTCACTTCCTCCATTTTCTTCTCTACTTCTAGAACTCCTATTATAAAGATGTTGGACCTTTGAGTCTATCCTTTATGATTCTTAACATTTTAGCCCTTATTTATTTATTTATTTATTTTGCCTTGTCTTTTTTTTGCTGTACATTCTGTAGTTATTTCCACAGCTTATTTTCCAAATCACTATGTTGGTTTTCAGTAATGATCATTCTGTTATTCAGTCCATCTCAATTATATACATTGGTGATTTTTTTTATAATTTCCAAGAATTCTTTCTTGTATTCTTTTTATAGCAATCCACTTTTTTAAAATGAATGTGATATCATTTTGAATAACTTTAAAGATTCTAATTAGTATTTTATTATTTTTTTAAGTACTAAGAATTGTAATTAACAACTAAGAATTGTAATAACCCAGAAGCACTATTATTTTTTGAGACTAAGTCCTCTCATTAAACTGCCACCTTGAACTTGGAAATCTCCTATCTCAGCCTCCCTAGTAGGTGGGATTATAGATGTGTCCCACCACACAAGCTTCTCTCTTTTTTATTCTTCTAGAGACAATTGTTACCAGTTCATCTTAATTCTTTTAGTTGTTTTTTTCCCTCCATGATACTGAGTGTTTTCAAAATGTCTGATGATCCTTGGTGTTGTTTTATATTTGTGAGGACTAAGTTGATTAATAAAAGTAATGTTCCTGGCTTTCTCCAGCAGTTTGGTAGACTTACTTCAGTGGCTTAATACCATTGTCAGTGGCCTATGAATAGGTTTGTCAGTAGGCACATCTTCCAAAGCAAGAAGACAGGGGCAGGCTTGAGATCTTCAGAGTCTACTTTAATTTTTCTCCTTGTCGTAGATAACCCGCTCCCTCATTTTCTGGGTTCCAAAATGGGATCTGCCGCAGTCTGGCTGGGCACAAATCACGAGCCACTAAAGCAGGAACAAATTTTATTTTTTCTACTGCAAGAAAAAACCTCACACACGCTCCTGGGGAATCCTCCCGAAAAGCCACGAGGCTCCTCCAGCAACCCCCAGCCGGCAAATTCTCCCCGGGAAAACCCTCCTCCTGCCCTTCGCCAACCAATGGGAACTCCCGGGGAATCCCCGTGAGAACTAAAAATAGCGCGAGAACTCAAAATTAGCGCTAGAACTCAAAAGTAGCGGCAGAGGCGGATATTAACGCCTTGCCTGTCA